CAATCCAAAATTTTGGGTATGTTTTAAATACCCTAAAACTCTAACAATAGCCTTCCAATGATCAGTGCTTGGATTACTTGTTTATCGACTTAGCCTACTAATTGAATAGGCAATATCAGGTCGAGTGTAATTCATGACATACATTAAACTGTCAATAATACGAGAGTATTCCATTTGAGACTTACTATCACCAGTATTGGAAACAAGATGCATACTAACATCCATAGGTGTTTTCATAAGAATAATATTATATTTCTTGAATTTATCAAGAATCTTCTTAATGTAGTGTGATTGAGATAATATGAGACCATCAAATGTTCTAGAGATTTTAATTCCTAATATAACATCAGCCACACCTAAATCCTTCATTTCAAATTTACTTGTTAGCATCCTTTTTGTAGTTTGAATTATGGTATCATTGTTACCCATAATCAACATGTCATCTACATATAAACATACCATGACATATCGATTTAGAGTGTTCCTGACATAAACACACTTGTCACACTCGTTAATTTTGAAAGCATTTGACATCATAACCATGTCAAATTTTTCATGTCATTTCTTAGGAGCTTGTTTTAATCCATATAATGATTTAACAAGTCGACACACTTTCTTTTCTTGTCCTGAGGCAACAAATCCTTCAGGTTGCTCCATATAAATTTCTTCATCTAATTCTCCATTTAAAAATGCCGTTTTAACATCCATTTGATGTATATCCAAACCATTCAATGCTACTATTGCAATAAGCATACGTATGGATGTGATTCTTGTCACAGGAAAATAGGTATCAAAATAATCAAGACATTCTTTTTGCTTGTAGCCTTTAGCGACAAATCTTGCTTTATATTTGTCAATTGATCCATCTGTTTTCATTTTCCTTTTGAAAATCCATTTACATCCCAAAGGCTTATTACTAGGAGGGAGGTCTACTAATTCCCAAGTATGATTTTGTAGTATGGATTCAATTTCACCATGAATAGCTTCTTTCCAATATGAAACTTCAGTTGATGACATAACCTCCTTAAAACTTTGAGGTTCATTTTCTAACAAATATGTTAGAAAATCAGGCCCAAAGGAGGTTGACGTCCTAGCCCTCTTATTTCGTCTAGGTTGTTCATTTATAGATTCTTGATCTATAGTTTCTTCGTTTTCACGAGATCTCTTTTGTGAATTTGATTCACCTTGCGTGTTATAAGGAAAAGTATTTTCGAAAAATGTATCATCCCTTAATTCAATAATTGTAATAACATGCATATCAGGTATTTCAGACTTATAGACCATAAATCTGTACGCATTACTATGGTAGGCATAACCAATGAATACACAATCAATGGTTTTAGGTCTTATCTTAACCCTTTTAAGTTTAGGAACTACTACCTTAGCCAAACATCCCCATACTTTCAAGTATTTATAATTAGGTTTGTGACCTTTCCATACTTCATAAGGTATCTTTTGCGTTTTTCGATGTGGTAGTTTGTTAAGAATATAGTTGGTAGAAAGCAAAGCTTCCCCTCACAAGTTCTGCGGTAATCCAGAACTTATTAACATAGCATTCATCATCTCCTTCAATATTTGATTCTTGCGTTCAATAATACCATTAGATTGAGGAGAATAAGGCGCGGTAGTTTGATGAATAATTATGTGTTCCGAACAGAATTTCTCAAATGGTGAATCATATTCACCACCTTTATCACTTCTTATGGCCTTAATCTTTTTGCTAAGTTGATTTTCAACTTCTAACTTGTAGTGTTTAAACATTTCAATTGCTTCGTCTTTGCTTTTGAGCAAATATACATAGGAATATTGAGTACAATTATCGATAAAAGTGATAAAGTACTTATTACTTCCTCTAGTTTGAACAAATTTTAAATCACATATGTCGGTGTGAATTAAATCTAGGGGTTTGGTACTTCTTTCAACAGAACAAAAGGGTAGACGTAACATTTTGACTTCTACACATATATCGCATTTGTGATTAGGATTTAAATCACACTTTGATAATAAATCTATTTTGATTAGTCTACGCAAAGTGTTATAACTTGTATGTCCTAATCGTTCATGCCAAATGTTAAATGACTCAAGCAAGTAAGAAGAAGATTTATTCTTATTCATAATTGGAGGTACAACAGTCATTACATTCAATTTAAAGAGCCCCTCATTCAGGTAGCCTTTTCCTACAAATATTTCATTCTTTAAGAGTACAAATTTGTCCGAGACAAATACTAGCTTAAACTCATTCTTACTTAGTAGAGAACCAGATACCAAGTTTTTCCTAATATCGGGCACATGAAGAACATCATTCAGAGTGAGCTCTTTTCTACTTGTTATTTTCAGCACTATCTTCCCATGTCCTTCTACCTTGAAAGATGACGAGTTTCTCATGTAGAGATGTTCATCATGATCCATTGCTTTGTAGGTAGAGAACATCCCACGGTTTGAGCGTATGTGACAAGTAGCTCCAGTATCTACCTACCACTCCTTAGTGTTTTCAATTAAGTTGCATTCAGAGACGACCGCAGAAAGATTCATGTCTTATACCTTATCAGTGAGGTTCTCAAGTTCTGTTACATTGGCTTGTTTAGTTTTTTCCTTCACATTTTTTGGCTTTCGACAATCCTTGGATCGATGTCCTGCCTTGCCACAATTGTAACAGTTGCCTTTAAACTTTTTAGCAGTTTTTGAAGAACCAATTTGTCCTTCCCCATTGTGCTTCCTCTTTTTGCTTGTCTTGAAGCCTCTTTCTACAATGTTGGCTTTTGATTCCATCGAATTAGATGCACCATTCCTTTTTTTCGTTTCGCGATTGTCTTCTTCTATTCTCAATCAGACAATGATATCTTCAAATTTCATTTCCTTCCGCTTGTGCTTTAGGCAATTCTTGAAATCCTTCCATGAAGGTGGTAATTTCTCAATTAGTGTAGCGACTTGGAATGATTCACTTAGTTTCATTCCTTCGGCATGGATGTCGCTAAGTATGATATGAAGTTCTTGAACTTGAGATATGATAGTCTTGTTGTCAACCATTTTATAATCCAAAAAACGACCAACAATGAATTTCTTCGTGCCGTCGATTTTGTACTTTGTGTCCAAAGATTTCCACAGTTCTTTTGCGGACTTGACATTGCAGTACACATTATATAATGTGTTATCCAGTCCATTAAGTACATAATTTTGCATAAGAAATCAGAATGCTTTCATGCATCAATTGCAGCCAATTTTTCAGCATCACTGTCTTGCTCGATATATGAAGGCGCGTTTTCTTTGAGAAATTTAGCCAGATTTAATGTTGTCAAATAAAAAAGCATTTTTTGCTGCCAACGCTTGAAATCTGACCCATTAAACTTTTCTGATTTTTCTCCGGTCGTATTCAGGAGTGTGGTACCAGAAATTGCCATTTCTGAAACACAATCAAAAGATCAACAGTAAGAAGGAGTAGAAACAGAAACAAAATAATAATAGAACAAAATTCGTTTTAAGATTGTTGTTTCTGGAGTTTGAAGTTACTCCTTCGAAAACAATCCGACAGAATCACTTGAATGTAAGAATTTGATCAATAGGATTTAAACAGTAATTTGAGCCCACCGATTTCACGATGTTTCCTTAAAACGAATTTGCTGCCTTCAATGGTGCTAAAGGCGTCCAGCAATCGTTTCCCAGGATAGAACGAATTTTCGTCTCCTACGGAAGTAGCACTGCAATCTGCAAGAGTTCCAACAAACTCAGCGAACTGTGCTTTACTTCGAGACAATATCAGAACGAGAGAGAGGGAAATGAGATTCAAAACACAGAAAGTTTGCAATGAAAATGGTGTAAATTTTCTGGTAGAGAGGTTGGCTATTTATAGACTTGTTCGTGGCCATTCGAACAGTCATCACCTTTCAGACAAGTCTCAAAAATCCAAACAGACATGCTATTCTTAAAAGTCGTGTCTGTTAAGTCGGTTAACAGTCGGCTAATAGTCGACTGTTTGGTCAGTAAACAGTCAACTGTTTGGTCGGTATAAAAGAAAATAAAACACCCGAAATAAGCCAAAATTTAAATTTCATATTGTACCCAAGAATTTGATTATTTACAATTTGGCCCAAAATTTTAAATAAATTTCATGCTCGTGCCGAGCCGGCCGGACGGACGGCGGCGGCAGCGCGCATGCATATGGGTTTATGACCGAACCCAATAGGATATAGGTTTTCCCCCTACCAAAAACTATTGGTACCCTTTGGGGCCCAAACCCAATTCCAAACTTTCACCTTATAAACCACACCAAAGTTTCCTAACTTTCCTATGTGGGATAAGTGTTTGAAAAATCAAATTCTTCTATAATCCTTAGTTTATGTGGGTTACTTTAACATTTAATATTTTATTCAATTTTAAATGATTTTCGATAAATAAATACATCACGTTAATCATCTCGCGAAGTAGAACTTGAATATGCTAGGTCCCGTATTAATTAAAAGGTGGGTCCCACTGAAATTTGGGCTCAAAATTGACCCATTAACCTTTTTTCCAACAATCTCATCCGCTTAAATATGCATGGCACATAAGATATAAAGTACACGTATCTCATTATTACACGATTAAGTTGATTGGTAATTCTTAATAACTAATTGACAAGTCTCAACGTTGTTATATATAATTGCAATTAAGTAAGAGAGTTGAGCACAAGCCATCAAGAAAAAAAAAAAAAAAAAAAAAAAAAATCCCGGTTTGATGGAGATTAAAATAAGATTTTTAATAAATTTTGATAAAAATTAATAAAATATGTAGTTAAATATTTATGAGTTCCATGAAATAAAAGGTTAAAATTAATTATTTATTTTGACTTTAAAAAATCTATATTACAATCCCCACCAATTAGACTAAAAATATGAGGACATTGATCTCCCAAAAGAGGACATTGATGCTCTAACCAAAAATACCATGAAAAAGTAAAAAAGTAACGTTTCTAAAAGGTTTTTTTTGGGTCATAGAGGAATTATACAAAGCAGGTGATTGTAATGGTTGAAATTTGACATTTGATGGCCCATCTTTTTGTTCACCAACCGGCTGCGCATCCAACATAAAATATTGACTCGCCAACCACACGCTCTTCTACCGCACTCCTTATTTCCATCAAGCCCTCTTACAGGTCTTGAAGGAGTTTTCGACCTACTCGAATCAGAACCCCTTTTAATTCTTCATAAAATGAGCAAAATTTTTACTTTGGCTGAGGTTTCTGAGCACAACAACGCCAAGGACTGTTGGCTTATCATTGATGGCAAGGTATGAGAAATTCTTCTGAATTTTGCTAAAAATTTTGGACCCTTTTAATTGTATTTAAATGGGTTCGATCTAATCCGGTTATGCAATATCTAGATCTATTAAAAAAGTTATCTTGATTTGGGTTTTTGTTTCTGTGATTTTGAAGTGAATTTTTCTTTAGTATTTGATTCAATTTTTCTAGTTTTGGTTCATTGGTTTTGAATATTTGAATCTGATTTTATCTTTTCTGAAAATTAAAATATACGGTATAAGTTGATATCTTTTTTTCTTTTTGACTACATTATAGATCAGCTCGATCTGATCTGTGCTGGGGACTTGTTTCCAGTTGCATGTAAAGCATTAGGAATTTATGCCATTGTTTCGGCAAGAAAAATTATAGTTGTTGGAGCATAATTTTCAAGAGCGTTTAGTTTTCAAAATGTAGCATATTTTATTTGTTAGAATGTATACTTGTGATCTAGTCATGCCATATAAACTTTAAATAGCACATAGATCTATTGCGGAAATTAAATGGACCGAAAATATACCTCCAGCTATTGATATCAACTGTGCAATCCGAAAATGAAGCTTTATGCCTTGGATTGGAGTGCTTCTAATGCCTTTTCAATCTCTTGACAATGGAGTAAGAAAACTGAATGGAATAGATGGCATTAGGGATCCAAACCGTGTTTCATATATAGGCTCTACCACTACTGAGTTTACCTTATTCAATACCAATAATTATGCAATTATTGACAAAATTTGTAGAATTTATGGGTCAACTTATTTGATACCAAAAATTACGCACTCAAAATAGGAAAAAATCAACATTCTCCCCCTTGGCCAAAAAATTCTATCATTTCCTTTAGTAAGAAACAAGTACATAAATCATGGCGATAGGTCCTCTTAGAACTGGTATTATCTTCCATGTATTACAATGTAGCGTGTATCTTAACATTAGCCCATATAGCTTAATCAATAAACCTTATGTTTATTCCAAGTCCAAACATTAATGATATTTCTCCAACCAATGAATGTGCACATAACAAAAATGAGAAATTATCACAACTGAAAATAGAGTTTTATTATTAATGACATTGGTCCATACTACGAAATCATTTTAAGAAACAAAGTCCCATTCGGTCTACATGATCCTTAAACTTGAATGGTGGCATGTCTTTTGTCAAAGGATTAGCAATAATTAATTCAGTGTTAATGTGTTCAATGACCATTGTTTTATCTTTAGCACATTCTCTTATCGCTAAATACTTGATATCGATGTGTTTGCTTCGACTGCCACTTTTGTTATTTTTTGTCATAAAACTGAGCTAAATTATCACAAAATATCCTTAGTGGCCTAGAAATTGAATCCACAATTCTAAGTCCAGAAATAAAACTCTTCAATCATACACCATGCAAGGTTGCCTCAAAACAAGATATGAACTCAGTCTCCATAATAGAAGTAGCAGTCAAGGTTTGCTTTGCGCTTCTCCAAGATACAGCTCCACTAGCAAACATGAAAATGTATCCAAATGTTGATTTTCGTGAATCAACGCAGCTAGCAAAGTCCGAATTTGAGTAACCAATCACTTCCAGATTAACAATTCGTTTATACATAAGCGTGTAATCTTTCGTCCCTTGAAGGTACCTCAGCACCTTCTTTGCAGCTCTCCAGTGGTCCATAGCTGGATTATTCTGATATCATTCCAAGAGCAAATGCAATGTCAGGTCTTATGCAGACCAACGCATACATTAGGCTTCTGATAACAGAAGCATATGGAATGTTCTTCATTTGCTCCCTTTCAAAATCACTTTTCGGGCACTGGTTCGAATTTAATCTATCACCCTTCACAATGGGAGCTATACTTGATGAACAATCTTTCATTCGAAATCTCTCTAAAATCTTATTGACTCTATAGCACGGACACTCTAACTAGGGTAGCGTGTCCGTGTTGGCGTGTTGGTACCGACACTCTACAATAATCATTTTTTTCTTACTATAATTATTATATATTTTTAATTCAAAATTATTAGTAAATAACAAATAAATACTCATATTTAAAAGATTTCAACAAGAAAAATCAATAATAAATATAAAACTAAATTTATACTATATAAATGAAAATTTTTAAAGAATTTAATCAACGTGTCGACGTGTCGTGTCGGTACTTTTTTGAAAAATCACGAGTTGACGTGTCCGACATGTATCGTGTCGGACACATAAACGTATCGGTTCATCATAGCTTATTGATATAGGTTTCTTGTGACAGACCCAAAATACCTCATGGTCTATCCCTGTAGATTTTTATGCTTTTTAGAGAAAAATTGTTTCACCTTATATAGCAAACATTTATCATTAGCTACAAGTAAAATATCATTCACATATAGAATAAGAAATTTTTTTTTACTCCCACTGACCTTCTGATATATACATTGATTCATAATGTTCTCTACGAAGTCAAATGAAAAGATAACATCATGAAATTTTAAATACCATTGATGGGAGACTTGTTTCAATCCATATATGAATTTCTTAAGTTTGCATACCAAATGCTCATCACTACTAGAGGAGAATCCTTTTGGTTATTTTATATACACCTCATCCTCTAGGTCTCCATTGAGAAAGGCCGTCTTCACATCCATTTGTTGCAACTTTAAATCAAAATGTGCAACCAATCCCATAATGAGACGTAGAGAATCTTTCTTAGATACAGTAGAAATATCTCCTTATAGTCAATTCCTTCCTTTTGAGTAAATTCCTTAGCTACAAGTCTTACTTTATGTCTTTCAATGTTGCCTAATGAGTCCTTTGTCTTAAAGACCCATTTACATCCACTGACCCTTGCACCATTAGGCAACTTGACAAGATCCCAGACTCCATTGGATGCCATAGAATCCATCTCATCTTTCATTGCATTATACCATAAATTTGATTCTTTACAATTCATGGCTTGTGAAAACGTTTCAGGATCATTTTCAGCTTCGATGTTATAGTCCAATTCTTGTAAATACACAATATAATCACCAGTTATAACTGATTTCCTTACTCTAGTAGATCTCCTTAATGTTGTATCAACATTTTCTTAAGGATCATGTTGTTCAACCAGTTGTTCAACAATTTCAGGCAATTCTTGAACATATTGATCTGCTGGATTGTTATCAGCAACTTGTGGAACTTCAATGATTGGTTGTCTAACACCTGTTTGAATTTGAAGGGTGTTGTGAACGATAATCAATCTGTCACTTGAAGTGGAAGGTTGAGCATCAATATGATTTTTTTTAAAAACAATGTCTTGGAATCGATCGCTCTCACTAATTTAGTTATTCTCAAGAAACTTTGCATTTCTTAACTCCACAATCCTAGTGCTGTGAGATGGACAATAGAATCTGTACCCTTTTGACCTTTCGACATATCTAATGAAATACCCACTAATAGTCTTTGGTTCTAGTTTCTTCTCTTGTGGATTATAAACTCTTACTTTAGACGAGCATCCCCAAATGCGCGTATGTCACAAACTCGATTTCCAACATTTCCATAATTCAAATGGTGTCTTTGGGATAGTCTTAGTTGGAATTCGGTTTAATATATACACTGCCGTTTTAAGAGCTTCGGTCTACACAGATCTAGGAAGCTTGGAGCTGCTAAGCATACGTTGCACCATGTCCAATAACGTTCAATTTCTTCTTTTCGACATTTTGGTCTGGAGAACCAGGTATGGTGTATTGGGTAACTATCCCATGCTCTTGAAGAAACTTTGCAAATGGAGTAGGTGCTTGTCCATCATCGGTGTATCTACTATAATATTCTCCACCTCTATCTGTTCTCACAATCTTAATTTGCTTTCCATGTTGTTTCTCTACTTCGGCCTTAAAAACTTTAAAGGCATCAAGTGCTTTGTTCTTGTTATGAAGCAAGTAGATATACATGTATCGTGAATAATCATCAATGAAAAAGATGAAGTATTTCGGGCCATACGAGCCCATGTCTGGACTACAAATGTTTGAATGTATGACGTCTAACTTTCTGTAGTTCTCTTAGCACCTTTCTTAGACTTTTTGGTTTGCTTTCCCTTAATACAATCCACAATACAATCCACACAAGTGTCAAAATTAGTAAAATTCAAAGTACTAAGTATTCCATTATTCACCAATCTCTTAATCCTTTCTATGGAGATATATCCCAATCTTCGATGCCACAATGTAGAGGAATCTTCATTCATAACACATCATTTCATACCAGTGTGAACATCCATAACATTATTATCAGTACTATGTTGTAAATTAATAGAGAAAAGACCATTAGACAATTTACCATTCCCAATAAGACTAAATTATAAAATAAACTTGAAGATGTGTCTGAAAAAATAAAGGAATATCCCAAAGGTACAAGTCTTGAAACCGAAAATAAATTTCTAGAAAAACTTGGAACATAAAAGGTCTTTCCAATTCTAAAATATAGCCATTGTTTTAAACTAAACTGCATGTTCCAATAGCCTCCACATGTGAGCCCATCTTGTTTCCTGATAAGATGTTTTGTTCACTTTCCACCGACTTTCTTAGATTTTACATACTTTGCAAGGTATTTGAAATACGGATTGTAGCACCAGAATTAACCCACCATGTATTATGATTAACATCAACCATATTAGATTCATAACAAGCAAGGAAGATTGAATTACCTTTCATCTCAAGCCATTTGTGAAACTTGGTGCAATCTTTCTTCATGTGCCCCTTCTTTTTACAAAAAAAAAAAAAAAAAAACACTTATTTTCCTTTTTGATTTCACCTTAGGGTGGTATTTTACCTTTCCCCTTTTGCTTGGCTTGGTTATGATTCTTCCCTTGGTTATGATCCTTCTCACGTGTTGTCAACAATGCACTCTCACCCATTTCCACAGCCAACCTTCCTTCCTCTTGAATACACATGGTCAGAAGTTCATTGATTGACCATTTGTTTTTATGCGTGTTATAAGAGATTTTGAAGGATCCATATTGCTGCGGAAGAGTATTTAATATATAGTGCACAAGGAAAGAATAAGACATTTTAACCTCCAAAGTTTTCAGCAAAGCTGCAATGTCCCTCATTTGCATGATGTGCTCATCCACACCTCTCACACTGCCGAGCCTTAAGGATGAAAATTTTATTATCAGGGTGCTAGCAAGTGCTTTGTTTGAAGTTATAAACTGTTCATTAATAGCCTTTAGTAACGCTTTGACATCGTCATGCTTATCCACATAACCTCGAATACCAGCTGAGATTTTGGTCTTTATGAACATCATACTAAGGCGATTAGACCGCTCCTATTCATAAAGAACCTTTTCTTCTGGAGTGCTGGTTGCAGTAATATTCGGCTTGTCTTTCCTTATAGCATAATTGATATCCATGCACCCCAAATGAAGAAGAATTCTCTCCTTGCACACTTTATAGTTGTCCCTTTTCAGTTCGGGAATTTCACACTTAATATCAGAGAAATTCGCAAGTTGCATGACTGTAAGAAAATCAAACATGCATAAAATTTGAGACAAATGAATACATATCATGTTTTACCAATGTAAATCATGTTTCAAAATTATGAATCTAATGACAGAACTTGCCTGTGGGCTAAAATCCTACTCTATTAGATCCATGTATAAATTTTATGATAAAACTATTAAATCACGTTGTAATTCCTAGTTCCTGTGGGTAATTAGGAAAGTAATTCAATATTTTATCCTAGTTTGATTATACAAATATAATAAAAAAATTTGTGGGATAAAATTTACTATATTAAATATGATCAACCACAATTAATGTCTTTCCTCAATATGTGATCCTATACTCTAATATATAATTTTGCATAATTAAGGATGCTGTGGTTACTTCCTAATTAATTGAAATTACATGGATCACTTGACATTAAATATAATTCACAAAATATGCTCATATAAATTGCACAAACCCATAAGCAATATGAGCTCAAAAATTAAATTTTAATATACTAAATTATTTAACTTAATATTGCATGTATAACAAACCAATAAAATTTATACATACAAAACACTAAATAAAATAATTTTAGTGCATATGAAAACAAAACCACCGAACAATTCCCATTAATTTTGTAACTTATTTACATGTAGTAACAAACTGGTAGAATGGATTTTTGTCTTTGCCAAACCATTACTTTATTAGAATTGCAGAACAACAGCAGTCTTTATCTCATGCAAGTTGGCTCGTATGCTGGAAACTAATGGTCAAAACAAAAACCATTCTTGTACTTTAATTAGTAAAAGACAAGGACTGAAAGGCCCACTGCATGTCAACACAATTTGGCCTGTCTCTCTGCAACGGTAATGAAGAAACGCTAACTGCGGGTTTGAAAAGATTGTTTACTATTTTTTTAATTACTAACAAGTCGTCCTCAACCTTTAGCCGAGTATATTTGACCCGGTTCCAACCTAAATAGAAACCTTGCAGTTTCTACACATTCCGGACACCAAAATTTACGTATAAAATCCCAGAAATGTTAGAAATCCAAATTTTTAATAATTCCTAACCTTAAGTTTCATCAAAAACTATGAAATAAGAATTTGAAATCTCTGAAAAATTACAGTAAATTTCTAGGAAAATTGCACAGAGCAAAATGAGCAAGGTAGAGGTAAAGTGGACTCTGATACCAACTGTTAGAATGTATACTTGCGATCTAATCATGCCATATGAACTTTAAATTGCACATAGATCAAATGCGGAAATTAAATGGACCAAAAATGTACCTTCAGTCATTGATATCAACTGTGCAGTCCGAAAATGGAGCTTTATGCCTTGGATGGGAGTGCTTCTAATGTCTTTTCAATCTCTTGACAATGGTGTAAGAAAACCGAATGGAATAGATGGCATTAGGGATCCAAAACCGTGTTCCATGTACAGCTCTACCACTATTGAGTCTACCTTATTCAATACCAACGATTATGCAATTATTGACAAAATTGGCAGAATTTATGGGCCAACTTATTTGATACAAAAAATTACTCACTCAAAATAGGAAAAAACCAACATTATTGGGTCATTAACTTGAATGGTTTGCCCTATTTTGCATCAATCTGAAGTGAAAAATTGGAGTAAATTGTCTTCAAGAGAATCTCTGGCTGACCTGCCCAGGTTCACTGAAAATTTGAGTTAATCATGCATGTTTATTTCTTTATTCAAGTGCAATCGCATTGACTACTGTTGGAAAATACTCATTGAAGGTTGCTCCTTGCTGTTTGGTATCATATTAATTTGTCGTCGTTTAATTCCGGTAATTCCCATGTTGATTCTAGAGATTTTATTCAAGATCTGTCTTGATGCAGTGTTTGTATAGCTATTTGGCATTTTACTTACGGCTGCTATGATCCAATTGTAATGATCCCTTGTTCGGTGTGAAATTTGAGTCAGAATCTCATGGAAAAACTTTTCCTTCTAAAATAAACTTTAGAAGGTTTACATGATTGGTTGCTCTCATTGAACAGCCAATTCTTTTTGCTACCCGCTTAATCGAGCTTTGTAATATATTTTTTAATTGATTGATGTTTCATCTTCAATTTTTTGTTCACTTTGCAGTAAAAGCGAAGGATTCTTATCCGTTGAATATGATTTTCTCTCTCAACTCTTGATTAATTTGAAAGAGCAACAAGTGAACTACTATAGTTGGAGAATGAAATTGATTTGCACCATGAAAATTCCTATTCTTCCTCATAAAAACACTTTAAATCTTCTTATTGATGAAATAATGGTGTTGGCATGTTTTAGTGGTTATATATATATATATATATATAGTTGGAGAATGAAATTGATTTGCACCATGAAAATTCCTATTCTTCCTCATAAAAACACCATAAATTTTCTTCTTGATGAAATAATGGTGTTAGCATGTTTTGGTGGTTTTATACCCTATATATCACACGGATTTAAAGTAACGTGTATTTTGTTCAGTAATGGCAAATTGAGAGGAAAATAGCAATCTTTATGCTACTATTAGTTGAAGCTACATATTTCCAGCGTAACTAGTAAACTGATTAAACTTGAGTGGATAAGATTTTTAGGATAATGGTCTATAGTTTGTGCTACGCAAATGCTGCAGTAGCCAATATAGAAAATTTACCAAACTCTATAATTTTATGGTTCCCATGCAAGGTATGGGAATTGAATCTCATATCAAAAGCATGGGTTTTTGATATAAACTTGGACTCTCCAATTTCAATAACTAGCTTTCGAGATATGGCTTTCCCAAGATTTATATCATTGGTATTAGAACAAGCACCATGTCTCTCGGTTGCAATCGAGTAGCGGATGGTGACATTGGCATAGCAATGTTCGTCTGGGATTAGTCATGAACTAGTGCATATCTAGTCCGACGTGGGCGTCGGGATCATGGAGCGTCGTAGATTGTTATGGTTCTCATTGTACAGTATGGAATTTGAATCTCACATCGAAAGTATGAGCTTTCAGTGTTTAGTTTACATAGATTTGGGCTTCCAACTTCAATAGCTAGCTTTTGAAGTATGGCTCTTCCAATATCTATATCAATATCATTGTAACTGATTTTAATGATACTAATGAACTCGGGGAAAATATGCATTTGAAATGGATTCCAGGGATGCCTAACTATTACTTATTATGATAAAGCCAATTCAATGAATAAGATTCGCATGGATGCAATGTTTATGTATTTATATTTAAAATTTGTATGCTAGAGCCACGTGGAAACAAATGATCGAACAGCAATTAGACTTGTAAGGTATGGTGTTGATAATGAAAGGTGTTGCTTAAAATTGAGGGTGCCATGATGTCATCTCAATTTAGTATGTGTATGTATCCTATGTTTATTTTGTTTATTTTGTTTCCTCATGCTTGTTAGAAGTCATCTGTGCTTTTAAACTTTTGCACAGGTTTATGATGTTACAAAATTCTTGGAAGACCATCCTGGTGGAGATGAAGTTTTGTTGTCTGCAACAGGTAATACTGTCGAATATAAAATGGTTTCCAAGTGATGACGATGTTTACTGTGACATTTTCAACATCATATGTGCTTGTGATTATGCATAAAGTTATTGGTCTATTGATAATCCCAGTGATTTTTCCTCTGCAGGGAAGGATGCAACTGATGATTTTGAGGATGTTGGCCATAGTAGCACTGCAAAGGCAATGATGGATGAATTTTATGTTGGTGACTTTGATACATCAACCGTCCCAACCAAAACCCAGTACACTCCTCCAAAGCAGCCTCACTACAACCAAGACAAAACATCTGATTTCATCATCAAACTCCTCCAGTTCTTGGTTCCCCTGGTCATCTTGGGTGTGGCTGTTGGCATCCATTTCTATACCAAATCTTCGGCTTAAAACATGAGATTATAAGTTGAAAACCTCGTTATATATTAACTTGCATAATTTTGGGGATTGATGCATATTTCTACTTTTGTGGTAATGGGGATGCTTTTGGCTTGCTTTTCTTGAAACCTAATTAGCTTCATCTTGCATGCTTTGGCCAATCTAGTATTTGACTCTTCGTGAATTTTGATTAGTTCTTAATTCCATCACCAGTCCAGATTAACTATTAGAGTGTGTTTGATTGACTTTATTTTTAATGAAAAATGTCATTTTTTCATCCAAATTCCCATTTTTGGGATGTTTGACTGACAATTTATTTTTATGGAAAATATTTTCCAATTTTTGGTCACGTGACCATATTTTCTTCAAAAACAAGGAAGAGAATTTCTTATCTATTCGCTCTCTCATACCCTCTAATAAAAAATGGATGAACATAATATTTTCTAGGTTGAAAATTAAATCAATCAAATATATTTAATTATTAATTTTCATACAAATAAGTTTAAGGCAATTGAATTGTGTAGAATTTATTTTCTTTCCATGTAAATTCCATGCTTGCAAATGAGTATATTCTGGTTCTAGAATTCATGTTGGGGTATGGTTCTAGAATTCATGTTGGGGTTTCGAGTTTTCAAGTCATGAGCTGTTGTAGGATCAACAAGATTTGATGCTGATCACCGAGAATACTTCGTTCACTTTCTAGTTTGTATAAATTGATTGAGATTCATTTGGGGCTTGTTTGGTACTGATTTTTAGAATCAGTTTTTTGACCATTAGAGAGAAAAGTGGGTTTCAAATATGAGTGAAGAAGTAAAAAATGACGACTAATCATGTTAAGCAACGGTCAAAAAATAAATTTTTTGACTTGAAAAATCAGAACAAAACAGGGACTTTATTATTACATTAAGTTTCGTACAAGTATAAAATTGCGGCTGTGGCCCACTCAAATATTGACCCTCGTATATTTCTCTCCCAACCTTTTATTCTGTCCTCAACAACGGACTCCCTCCAAACTTATCATGAGTTTTGCATGATAATTTTGTTACACTCTTACCAGCCTCAAAAGGTTTTCCCATTTTTATCTTTCTCATCCCCCTCCGCGAGTCAAGTTGCTCGTTGGCTCGTTACTTGACTCGATTTGGCCGATGGACTACTTTGGCTCGTATTGAGACGAGTTGACTTATCTTGAACACGTTGATCGATTTGTTTTTGAAAAATTTAAAAAATAAATATTAAAAGAATGAGTTGACTTGTGACCAAACAGGCCAATACCTGCATCACAACTCTTTTTAATATATGGTGTAATTAACCGTAATCTGTAAATTAAAGTTTTACACGTTACATTCTATGTAATTACATTATGGGTCTTTAATCTTTCGTATTTGTGGCACCGATATCCCTAACCTAACATTTGTTGCACTCAGTTCCAACAATTTTAAAATTGTACATAGCGACTATATCTATGATGGAAAATATTTATTTAAACATTAAATAACCACGGAATGCTTATGTGATATCAAACTAAAATGGTAAAATTGTTCAAAAATACTTTATTCTTCCAAAACAATTCAAATGGTAACTTTAACTTCCATTTAGAAATTCAAATAGGGTTTATTTCCTCTGTGTTCATGAAGTATTTTATGCATCTCTGACATCACGTGAGTGTCATTTGGTCATTTAATTTTAAATAAACACTTTATGTTAGTTAGGGACATTGATTCCACAATTTTTAAATGCCGGGAACATGGACGTAACAAATGATAGGTTAGGAACACATACGCCGCGCATATAGGAAAGTTTGGGGACCTCTTATGGAATTTAGCCTAATTAATTTCTTAAATTTTTCTATCATATAATTGAATAACTTTTCTTCGTATTCTAAAACGTATTATATAGGCCATTAAACATTTCAATTTTTGTATTTAAAAAAAAATAAAAAAATTTCACCCTAACACCCCCATCCATTCAAAGGAGCATCGAATCCAAGTCAACGATCTCACAAGGTTTCACTTTTACTATTTAAATTAGACATTGACCTTTTAAACCATAATTTAAGGTATCTACTATTTTAAACCCGAGGATTTGTATAATCTATTGAATAAGTAAATTTTATATTTATTACTCACTTAATACTTCATTTATGGTTAACCGTATTATTAAATTCTATTAAAAAGGCAATTAGTTGACAAAAAATTTACTCTGTGCACTTACATGCACAAATATACGAAAATGATCTTCTAAGTATCGATACTTAACTTATGTTAAATATCAGTGACATGACACACCATTTAATTGGTGAATAAATTAATGATAAGTTCCGTGTATTTAATAATTTGCTAATTAAATGGTGTGCCATGTCACCAGTGCCTATCGAATGTTTAATTTATATTTGAATCATTAAGGATCCATTATATTTTAATGTCTACCAATAATCAATCCACGTTATTTTCTATTATATTTATTGTTTATCAATGATCAATCGATACTAATTTCATTCATGTAAAAAGTGACTAAAATTGAAAATATCAGAAAAATAGAGTTGTTGAACGGATTATTCAATTGATATTCTCGAATATGAATGGAAATATTAGTGATATTATTGAAAAAAAATTAACATGAGCGATCCAATTAAAGTTTTCACGAAAGTTCAGTTACCAAAATTAAAATTAACCCCAAATTTAATAGGTGCTACATTAGTATCGATACAAGTTCTGTTAAACTCATGGCTTTATTCATTTTTCCCTAGTGAATCCCGTTTCCTGTCTTTAAGTTCATCGTACCTGATGTATAATAATCACACGTGGACATCTGAAGAAACTCGGAAACGTAAAAATTATATATAAACGAGATTACCTTTTGAAGACTTTCTAAGATCAATTCGTTAAAATATACACAATTATAAGTTTTTAATTAATTTTTTTGTCTATTTGCTGCCTTCAATTTTCATAGAAAGATAAGAACAATACGACCAAGATTTTTACTTGAAAAACAAGAAATATCCTCGTTAACAACTATTTATTTTTTAAATTCTTCTTCGCATGGGGGATTTCCTAAGACAATATCCCACCGATTCCTAAGACATTTCTTAAGATACCACGTCAAAATTTGTCATGCTGTGATCAAGAAATTTCCTATATTAAGATTGATTTGTGCGTCCACCTCCCCTTCGCTTGGTTCTTCTGCAGAAACCCAGAAAAATGGGAGTTTCAGCAAGAGATAATGATCTTCTAAAGCTGGTGCATCCTGGCCGGTACGTCGAGATCTATCGAGAGCCGGTGATTGCCGCCGACATCATGAAAAAGTACCCCCGACACTGCATCGCAAGGCCTGATGTGTTTCAGTTTCCTTGGATTTCTGTACGACCCGAATCAGTTTTAGTACCAGGGAAAGTGTTTTATCTCGTACCTTTTAGGACCATGCACAAATTGCTGGAGTCTAAAAAACCGCAGCATAATCAGAATTCTTCGAGAAGAACTCAATCGGATGGTCATGATCATCGTCATCGTCATCCTCTTCACCGTCGCCATAATCCTAGTCATCGTCACCATAACGATCCGACTTCTCCGATCAAATCAATGGCCGGAGTGACTCCAAAGCATCTACCGCATGACAGATACAACTTTAGACAGTTTGACAATAATATGAACTCCCATGATCATCATGATCAAGATTCTGATGTGACTTTGTACAGGTCATCCTTCTTCGAATCTTGGAATAGAGCTCGTGAGATTTTGAACCATGATAATACTGATTATGAGATTGATTCATTAGTCGACAGTGAAGTGACGAGAAATGGGCGTCCGCGTTTAATGATCCCGGAGAATGATGCTCTGCGGTTGATATCTTGTATGAGGAAGCCGGATAGTGTTCGAAAGTTGCTAAAGTTGAAGGTGACCTTTACATCTCCGATTATCATTCCAAGCACTCCAAGAAAGTCCCCAACACATCAGCAGCACGTTATGACTTCTTAGAATGATACTATAAGGTGCCACCCAAGGCTCTTTTTCCCCTTTTTTGTTTTGTTTTCTTCTTCTTCTTTTTATTTTTATTTTTATTTTTATTTTTATTTTTTTATAATATTTTCGGGGGAAGGTTAGGGAGTGGGGTTATGAGGGGAGAAGAAAGAAACTATCTTGTACTTGTCGAAGTATGATGTTTCAGAGTTTTGTTGTTAAAATGTTTTAAGGGAT